TTCATTAATTTATTATTCAGTCTTTCTTTCTTTCTTTCTTTCTTTCTTTCTTTCTTTCCTTTTCCTTTTCCTTTTCTTTTTCCTTTTCTTTTTCTTTTTCTTTTTCTTTTTTTCCCGTCTTTCTCTCTTAATTGATTCCTATTCTATTCATATCCTTCTCATCTTCATCCTATAGTTAAAAAATAGTATAGCAACTGGCCGTATTTTGCAAAGCTTGTAACTTACATTTACAAAAAAAACTAAATATAATAAATGTAAAAATGTGCAGCACGCATTCATTGATGTTGGACATAACAATAAACGAGTACGAATATTATACTTGCAAATAGCATTGTTTTTATTCTTTGTAACAAACGACGCGTAAATAGAAAGGCATTTCAACCACGCATCTTTCAAAAAAACTTGAAGACAAAATACTTAGAGAACTATTCTTTGGTCAAAGAAGAACTCGATCCAAGAAAGCTTGATCAAGGTAGGTAGGAATAAAAACTAGGAAAACATAAAGCGAAACGAAGATATTTATTACGTAAGTTTACGAAATATAACCTTTTTCAAACGAGACAATAAGCGACCGTTTAAACTTAACCTTAAACGATGTCTTGCCTTAGCAAATATCAGAGCTTTACATAACGTATATTTACTTATTGTTAGCACTCTTATTTGAATAAAAGCATTATAATTTTTGAGAAAATTTCGCTTCGTGTTAGAGCTGGCTCAACAGTTTAAATCTGACATGAATGAGCGATCATTAAAAATAACTATTTTGCATGACGCTCGGGTTTTCAGACCTACTTGCAGTTTTATTACGATTTCTCTTTCGTTTTATTCGCTAAACAAACAGAAATATATATGCATATACAAAATACAAAGTCTTCTACAAGTAAAATATACGATATGTACGCCGCAAATATTGCAAACTATGGAACACCTCACTTATTACGTACGGATTGACTCGACCGCCATTATGACTAAAGCCAATGTTGCGTAAAACATTTTTATGTTAACCTCCATTTAAAAGCTAATATAACTTTTCCTCTAGATTTAGAAATTTATTTAACTTCCTAAACTTTCCTAAACTAACTTTAAGTAAATAACGATCAGAATCGGAGCGAAGTTCTTTGAATATTTGTCTTTTTTAGATATCGTGTTTTGGTAAATAAGTCTTTCCAAAAGGTATACATATTCGTCAGTCTTGTCCAATATTTAAAGATATAACCTATGAGAATCTTTGTAGTTTAGCTTACTTTTGCGACGATTGAGAAACTAAATGATGGCGTTTTACATTTCACTAGAGCGGTAAGGTTTTTTTGCTTCAGGTTTTGCAAGGGAGCTTACTTGATACTCCAGTTTTGTTTGCTTTCTTCATCCTCTCACTCGTACCGTAAGCATGCATGGCAGATTTATTAAAATTATCTAATGCTTGTATATGAACATCCATAATCACCACCTCAAGCGAAAACTATGAATCATGCACTTTTCAGGGAAGAATCAAACCGAAGTATCATAAAGTCGTTATGCAACTACCAATATTTATCGTTTTTTACTTTATATATAGGAACGTTTTAATATTTATGTCCATCGTATTTTAGTTTTGTATGTGTATTAAAATCGTTCTCCGTGTTCCACGCCATAGTTATTCAGTCCCTACTGCTTAAATGGTTATTAAAGATAATAATATTTTCTTCAAGTATTATTATCATTATTATCATTATCATTATTATTATTATTATTATTATTATTATTATTATTATTATTATTATTATTAAGGATGGTGCTCACACTCAAAAGTGTTTATGAATGAGTGAATAAACAGCACGCTGGTTGGAAGATTACAGTTGAAAACAATTTAAATTAATCAAAAAGTTGTTACATATAAGATTTCTTGGCCCCCGTAAAAAAAAGCAAAAGCTTTTTTTAGTGTGATGGGTTATATTTATGATTTTTAACCTGTTTTCTCTGACTTTTTTATGTATTACATTCGATTGCTGTTGATGTTCTTCATCTTTTTCTTCAACATTCGTAACAGATCGAGATCGAAACGTCTTATTGTAAGACATCATGGAAGAGTCAGAAATAACAAGTAAAAAATATTTCTGATTAGATTTCAATATATTTTGCTAGGGATTATAGATTAAGTAAAAATGTACTTACGAAGTTATAAGAAATGATAGCATAGCGTAAAAAGGTGAATGCAGACATGCATCATCAAATTATTTGTCAATCACCGTTGAAAAAATTAAATTCAAAAATGATTTGTAACCTTTAGCTATTCCTATTCCTCGATAAAAGATATATTTTACTGTTCTTCTTATTAGTTTACAAATGCTTTTAGCAACAAAAACTGATGGCAGAACTTTTGATGTAGCGCCATTTTTCAATCAAAACTAGATTTGTGAATCAAACGTATGGACAAAATTCCTCGYGCCTCTCGGGGGAGCATTGGCGCCATTTAACAAAAGATTTTTGATAGCATCAATTGTTAACGGAACCAAGATGGCCACCATATTTTTGTCGCTTTGACTCTCTTGGAAATGCTTGCAACCCATCAATATAATAAACATATTTAAAACTGAATAATAAAACATCTAAATTATGTTTAATGTACTTTAATAATAATAAATTACTAAATATTACATAGTAATTCCTAAACAGATTCTTCTTTAAAGGGCATAACATATATTAATATGAAAAATTGTAAGTAAATTGCACAGATTTGCACGAATTAATACTATTGATTATTGTTATTATGCTTTGAACGTCAGTCCTTTGTCCGTAGAGTAAGAGAGACTCCTCTAGTTTGGTAAAATATTGGGGACTTTATGCTTTTTGTCGGGGCTTATTTTAGTGCTTCACTACTTTTACGAATGGGTTTTTTTTTCTCTCAATTCATTCGGATACGACTTCTGACATATCTTTTTGATGTCCTTAGA